TGATCGTCCTCGTGCAGCGTTTCCGCAAAACTGCCTGTCACACATGGACGGGAGCACATTCCGCCATCACTCGAGGGTGGGGGTCGTTGAACTGGCCGGCTGTCCATCACGGGCGCCTCATTTACGACCGTTTCCACTCATTGCGTCTCCGCGCTTAACGAAACGCCATCTGGCATGAGCTTCCCCGAAATCCACCCGCCTTCCCTGCCGTCCGAGGCCAAACTCTCCCGGACCGGCACCAAGAATGCTTCTTCCGAGTCTCTCGGAATGATTATCCGGGGTAGATTGGGCCGATGAGGCAACATGGCATTTCTGGCCTAACCAGGCTGGCATCCAGCAGCGACGGTGCCATTGCGTCTTGCTAATAACGGCGAGGCAAATCCAACGCTGGTCACAGGGGCCCGGTAAGTTGTTGGTTTGCTCGGCATGGACACTCGTCTCTTCCTCCGTGCACATCTTGCCCCGAGACACTACTATTACAGCGGCCGCGAGCCGTCGACATTCACTCAAGAGTCGACAGCCTCCTCCTACTCCCACACCACCGTAGCGAGTGCCGGCAAGCCGTGCCGAGGAAACCCGACTCGATCCCACCGAGTGCTCCTCGTCTCGAGCTCGAGTGCCTCAAGTGCCGGCGCTTGGAAAGCCGTTCCTCGCTTACAGGACCTCGAATTGATTACTTGCATCCAGAGAGCTCCTAGCACATTTAGGCTCTGCAACATTGCCACCGGGAGACTATGCAGGCACCCTTCCCGCCTGCAGCAGGTGCAATATATGGGAAAGTGCCCTGCGACGTGGCGGCTCACGTCCCCGGTAAGGCGTCTGCTGATCATGAACTGACGTTCCACCACCGTCAACCTGTCGCTTTGGCCGATGCGCATCCGAGGTCCCGTCCCGGTAATCTGATCTGATCTGATCGGCTGCTCGACGCACGACATCGGCCCTCCTCCTAGGTTGAGTAGTTGAGCATGTCCCTGTTAGCCGAGTCCTCTTGATGAACCTGCACCGGTGCACTCCACCCGGCCCGGGCCAGGCACTTTTCTAGGGAGTGGGGGGAATAAGAGAGATGGGAGAAAGAAAGGAACGAAGGGGAAGGCGAGGGCGAAAACGGAACGAGAAGGGAACAAGAGAGAGAAGGGAAGACGAAGAGTCCCATCTCTGCTCGCCGCGCAGTGCAGCGCCAAAACCTCGAGACGCTGGTTTGGCAACTCAAGTATGACAAACAGAAATTGTCCTTCGCTAGTCAGTTCCTTTGCTCAAACACCAAGCCAGCGTCTGCTATCGCCAAGTGACCCGGCAGCTACCGTATCTTAACAACCATTGGCGCGCTTCGGGTTTGGCGAATACGTTACTAACTTCTTTTGCGATGTGGTTTGCCGGCTAGTTCGTAGACTAGCTGGCATTGGTTATTGGGACGGTTCGCCAGCCTGTGCCCGATCTTTCTCTCTTTTTCTGGGTTGGACTCTACTCGGTATGTGTGAAGGGGGATCTCAACAAGCCTTATCTTTCAGTTTTATTTCCAACTTCAGCCTTTGACCACCTGGATCGAACTGGGCCATCTTTTCCTTCCTTAGTAGCAGTGGACGGGGGGTTTTAATCTTATCATCCCGATATTCTACAGTTTGCTTGCAACGAAACAAAGTATGGGTCACGTTCTTGACACCGGAGCTTGCCACGAAACTCGGTATATCCAGCAATGGCATGTTTGCCTTGAGTGATTATAAGTCTTGGATGAACAAGTAGAGGAATCCAAAAAAAAAGCCAAATGGAAAGGAAAGGGCTCGAAGGAGCCGAGGGAAGAAGACGACGCCAAGGGATGGATGGTGAGTGGCCGTTGGCTTTCACTTTGTTTCCAAGACTTCTCTAGCCGGGCGTACTTGGGAGACAAAAACCATTGAAGCTATAGATAGCTTTTGGAAGTTTCAGCGGAAAGCTCTGCGGTTTATACTGATTCAAGCTCAAAGCTGTGACAACTTGAAGCTCTTTCCCTTAAAGAAACCAGGGTCCTGGAACCAGACCCCACTCACAGTCCCAATTGACCAATCACAAGCGCGCCAACATTTTCAACCCGAACCGCATCCATTTTCGCTGCAAACCCGCGAATTCAACCTCTCAACCCGACCGGACCGCCAAACCCTCGAGCGTCGCTCCATCGAGGGCCATCACCCAAAAAAAAAGAAAGAAACCAAACCATCAAAAGAAATAAAAGAAACCATGAACCGGCACGCCCTCCGATCCGCCCTCGGGCGCGGCACGCCCTCCTCCTCCTCCTCAACAGCAGCAGCCCGAGCCCTCAGCCTGCCCATCAGCACCACAACCCCGACCTCCTTCTTCTCAACCACCCCCTCCCGACCGGCGGCCGACGAAAACAACAACAACAACAGCAAACCCCGCTCGCAAAACGCCGCCGTCGAGAGACTCACCCAGCTCAACAACAACAACAACAACCGAGGAACAGGAGGAGGACCAAAAAAAGAAACACTCGACTCCATCCCAAGCCTTTCTTCTTCCTCTTCCAGCACCCGTGGCGGCGGTGGTTTCCGCCCTGGCAGTGGCATCATTGACGCGCGCTCGCTTCGCGTCTCGCCCGCCGAGGGGGCCTCTTCGTCTTTGTCTGCCACCGCGCCTCGGGTGCTCAACCTGCGCAGTCTGCGCGGCGGCGGCGGCGGGCTGAGCGGTCGGGTGCCGTTTGGTCGGGGCGGTGGGATCGGTGCTGGTCGCGCTGCGGCTGCGGCTGCTGCTGCTGCTGGTGGTGGTGGTGGTGCTGGTGGTGCGGCAGGTGGGGAAGGGGGAGGGTTTGTGAGGCCGAGGTTTGGGTTTGTGGCTGGTGCGCCTCAGCGCGGTGGGTTTAGTAGGGGGGGGAGGTTTGGTGGACTTGGTGGTGGACCTGGTGGTGGTGGTGGGTTTGGGGATAGGTCGGCGCGAGGTGGTGGTGCTGGGAGGTTTGGGGCTCGCGGTGGCCGTGGCCGTGGGCGCGGACGTGGAGGGAGGGGCGGGGCGGCGCGGGAGGCGAGGGTGAAGAAGCCCGAGGACAATACTCGCTATCAGAACAAGCTGGTCTGGTCGCCCGAGGAGAAGGCCGTGATGGACCGGCTCGACCAGGGCGAGATGGTGCCGTTCGACCCGAAGCTGACGCTTGATTCCTTGAGCGGGTACGGCGCGGCGCTCGCGACCGACGCGCCCATCGGCCAGGTGGAGTCGGCGCTGCGGGCGATGCGGCTCATGACGGGCGGCATGGCCTTCAACGCCGAGTCGGGCGTCACGGCCGATGTCAAGGCCATCATTGAGCGGTACAAGCAAAAGAAGCCCGTCTTTGTGCACAGCAAGGAGGAGAAGGCGTGGATCGAGAGCAGCCAGCCCAGGCTCCGTCTCGTCGGGCCCAACGCCGAGACCAAGAAGGCCATTGTCGACACTGCTATCCTCGGCCAGTACAAGGGGACCACGTTTGCCGAGGCGGGCGACGTCAAGGCCACCATGGCCAACTACCACGCGCGGACCTTCACCTACATGGCGTCGGACTCGCAAAAGTTCATGGACAAGGTGATCTCGCTGCTGCCGGCGCAGGGCGGTGGCAAGCCGGCTGCCCAGGCGCCCAAGCCCTGATGGAGGAAAACAAAAGAGAGAGAGAGGGATGAGCCAAGGGGCACTTTCTTACTCGATATGTAACAATACCGTTGTGTCGGCGCCAAATGTTTTGTTAAGTCTACTTGTACAGAAAGAGGTATCTATCCACATAGTTTATAGAACACACAGATTACCTAATTTATCCCATCCCATCATGCACGCATGCAGCACGCATGCATTTTTGCTGTCATGCCCCTTTTTCCCTTGCTTGCCCCTGCCTGTCCAACCATACTTTGCTAACTAATAATAAGGGTATGTACGGTAAAACTCAAGCCCTCGACATAATCTGCCCCACGACCTCCTTCTCCTTGGCCAGAATGGCCTTCATCCGCTCGTCCTGCAGCTTCTGCAGCCGATCCTTGAGCTTGAACACGTCGTCGCTCAGCACCAGGCCGTCGGCGCGCCACCGCTTGTGCAGCTCGCCGCGGCGGTGGGCCTCGTCGCGGACGCGCGTGCGCCAGGCCTGGCAGACGTCCTTGGCGCGCTTGGCCAGCGCGTCGGCGCGCTCGGGCTCGACCGCCATGGTCAGCTCCAGCGGGTTGTCGGCGCTGCGCTGCGGCTGCTGGTTGAACTCGTCGGACCGCTGCACCGCGCTCACGATGGGCTTGACCGACGCCTCCTCGAACGCCAGGATGCTCCAGCGCCGCCCGCCCAGCGGCGCCACCGTGGCCAGCTCGCGCAGCGCGAACGTCTGGGGGGATTTCTTGTCGGGCTGCACGGCGATGCCGCCGATCACGTCCGCGTTGAAGCGGCCGCCGGTGCGGAGCTTCTTCAGGTCCTCGGTGAAGCGCTTCTCGACGCGGTCGAAGGCGGTTTGGAGGTCGGTGAAGTCGAAGGGGTTTTCGGGGTCGGTGGACTCGGCGGCGGGAGCGGGGGTGTTAGTAGAGGAGGAGGCGGTCGTGGTGATGGGTTGGGTGGTGGTGGCATTGTTGGCGGTGGTGTTGTTGTTATTGTTGCCGCCGCCGGCCTTTCGTTTTTGGCATTGTGCTGTGTGGGAGAAGGACCTGGCTATGGCAGGTGTCAACTGGCTCTGTTCTGCCCGTCTCAGACTTTGAACCAAGGACGATGTGGTCCTGCGACTGGCACGTCAGCTTGCGTTGCGTTGCGCTGCGCGTGGCTGTTGAGCCATTGGGCGTCAGACAAACCTCAGCGGTGCGCTAGGGGCTGCATTGCGGCGTAATAGGGAGTTGGCAGCTCGAATGCATCTCATGGTGGGTTTCTGTTTTGATTTCTGCAATGTTGAACTTGGGCATTGACTGTTTAAACTTTTGTTGCCCGCAAAAGGGACCCTGCAATCACTGGAAGCTAATCCGCCCACCCCTGTCGCCTGCTGCACACACATCCTCCTGTAGAGAATTGCCCGCCAATCCAACCAACAAGGCTGCGTGGCCCAGTGGTTAAGGCATCTGCTTTACAAACAAAAGTCGCAGAGGATCGCAGGTTCGAGCCCTGCCGCGGTCATTGTTTTGATGTCGTCGTTGTCCAGACACATAGTGTTTGCTTTTTGCTATTCCTTGAAAGAGTTTGAACATCCCCGAGGTGGGTTTGCGTGGTGTTGGAAGGTGCGACTGCGACTGCCTTAAGTTGGGGTTGTATCATGGCTCCGAGTCGTCACTGGCACCCCTCTTTCAACCAACCCACAGCAACCATTCACTTCGTACCTTCTTCCGGCCTGGGTTGCAAGTAATCATTGGTTCAATTCTTGGGTCTGAAAAACGATAGTGATTCGAAATAGGTAGAAAACAAATATTCGATTGATTGTGGTAGGTAAGGTAGGTGTGGTGAAGGAGGATCTCAGTCGTGATACAGTCCCCTGCGCCTAGACTCAAGTATAGGAGAAACACTCCTCAATAGCTGCTAGATAGGTGGTTGTACGGAACAGATAGGTACACTCGATGGGACTATTCCCAAACTGCCCGAGCCTGAGCCTGAGCCGCGCCAGCCAGGCCAGGATGGAATACCACAAAACACCTGCCTCTCCTCCTTGAAGGTACTGTACTTAGTAAATCCGAATGTCGGCCCCCTTTTACTCCAGTTCCATTACAAGACTCGACTCTCGCATATCCCGTAAAAGACCTCCTCCACTTGGGCTTGCACAGGGCTGTCTGAATGATGCTCCTGCAAACCCCGTCCTCAGCGTTGATCCAACAGTAAATGGATGATACAGCGCCCCTTGACATAGAACCCCATGTTCGCTTTCGCCGGTGGCTGGGGGTTCTCCTCCTTGGAGTCATCTGCTTCCTCGATATCCTCTGCTCCCTCAGCGTTCTCGTCCTTCTCCCCCTCCTCCTTATCGCCGTCCTCCTCCTCTTCTTCCACAGCATTCTCATCCTCCTCCTCATCACCGTCCTCGCCCGCAATACCTATATTCTCCGCATCCTCTTCACCCTCCTCTTCATCCCGTTCTTCATCCTCGTCGTCAACCTCCCCCTCCCCCATATCCTCATCCGAATTCTGCGCCGGCCTCTAACTGACGGGGTCCCCACAGAGCAGGCACCTAACCGGCTCCGTCCACGTCTTCTCCCCGCCAGCTACGCCCTCGCGCAGGTCCCGGAACTCTATCACGGCCGGGCCCATGTCGGCCGTCTTGAGCGTCGCCTCGAACAGACCGTCCCACGGCCGCGCGCTGTCGCCGTTCGCTTCGGGACCCTTCTTCCGTGGCCTGCCCGGCTTGCGGCCTGGTGTTGATTTTCCGGCGGCCGCTGCCCCCGAGGGCTTGCTTGGTGTGTCTGTGTTGGTGGTGTTCTCGCTCGTCGCCCGCGGTTGGTCGGCGAGCCGCAGGGGGATGGAGTCTTCGGGCGCGGCTTGGGCGTCCTCGTCATCGGCGGCCTGCCTGACCTCGACGTTGTCTTTTGTGCCGACGTGAACTGCGTCTGACGGTGCGGCCTCGGCCTTGACGTCGATCGATTGTTCGGCGGATCCCTCGGCGCCGGTTTCTGAGGGGCTCAGCGGGCGCTTGCCCTCGTCGCCGTTCTCCTCTTTTTTCGTCGCTACCGCCGACACGTGTGGTTTGTCGCTGCCCAACCGCTTGTATGTTGTCTTGAGCGCGTCGTCCAAGATGCACTGCTCGTGCATCCACTTCTTGCACGCTTCCGTTGTGCACCCGATCAGCAGCTTGTCGGGGTTCCCTGGCGTATTGCAACTGCAGACGAGCTCGACCGACTAGAAAGGTGGGATTAGTGTGATGGCTCAACCAAGGAAAAGCCGGGAGAGGAAGGTCAGCTGCGTACCGAAAGCTCATATGTCCTGACGTCAAACGCCTGCCTCCAGTACAGCGCGTGCTGTATCTCCTCGTCGTTCTCTTCATACCATTGCTTCACTTGCGCCTGCGACGTGACGCTCACCACGTTGATGATATCCACTGCGCCAGTGTCAGTATTGCGTGGGTCTGTCTGTCTGCGCCCGTGGCCGCGGATTGCTTACTGTGGTTCGAGGCAATCAGCTCGTTCATGCCGTGGTATGGTTGGCGGCTCTGAATCGTCTTCTTGCCGTCGTGCGTCCCTTGCGGGAGCTCATCAGGCCAGTACATCCAATAGACTCGTGCATACACGTGGTGCTCGTCGCTTGCGCGGATTTCGAGGATGCGGGCAACCCAGTCGTCATCCGACTTCTTTCTCGGCTGCATCGGCTCGTTGTTGTTGACGGCCTTTTGCCGCTCGATACTAAAGTCATTCGCGACGTAGATGAAGCCCTCACTGAAGTATTTGATCCCATTGACTACGCGACAAGTCAGACGGGTACGTTAGTCCGACGTGCCCCGAAATTGGCACGTTGTGGTTGGGACAAATGAGTTGCACTTACGAACGAAGCTGTTGTATCTCGTCATGTCGGTCCATCTCTTCGCCGGATCGACTTGGAAGTGGAGATCCATCGTCTCGTGTGTCTTGAACTTGCCGCACGGCGCAAAGGGCGACATTTGCAGGTTGATCCTCTGGGCTGTGTCCTCTTCCTCGCCGCCGTTCTCGGTCCGCCGGCGCTTCTTCTTCTTCTGATCCTTATCCTTGGGGTCGACAATCTTGATGGTAAATGGACATTCGGCCCGGTTGTCCTCGGGCTCGGCCCTCGGTCTCTTGCGCGCGGACGCCATGGTGGTTGAGCGTTGGTTGCGACGGGTTGCGCCTGAATGGATCGGCCGGCCGGGACGGAAGGGAGAGAAGTTTCTGGATTGAACGCGTGTGTCGGATACAGAAAACCAGCGCTTGGTAGTGGGCGCTGGGGAACAAACGCGTGGGTTGCGATGATGGTGGTGGTGGTGGTGGTGCGAGGGTTGCGGAACAGCGTCAGCTCGCGAGGAGTCGACGAGTGGCCCCAAGCGCGGCGAGCTTCTGCGGGAGCGTGGGGAGCGGTGCGGTCACTGCGCACTGCGGTGGCTGGGGAAACCGCCCGACGGGGGGGAGGAGTCGGTACTCAAGACCACACAGGCTGGTACATTCGAGGGCCGTCCCGACGTGCAAAATGCTAAGCCGACTTTTCGACCTTCAGACAACTTCCCCCAAGTTGTTTGCTGTCCCGCTGAGCGATGCTCCTGCGTCAATGGGCAATGGCAGTCGGCACTTCACAGCTCTCATCAACGAAGCTGACAGCAAAATTTCCGGAATCCGCGTCCGCCACCCGGGGCCTGAAAAAACATGGGGCCCACCCAGCCACGTGATTTTGCGTCGGTGAGGAGAAAGCGAGGGGAAAATCCTTGTGGCTGGGCATTGCCAAGCGCCAAGGAAATGGGGGCATCCCTGGGCTTTCGGCATTCGTGATGCAGCCAACGAGATGTTGCATCACCAACGCGGAGTGAAAGCCAACAACCATGGAATGTGCGTCCATGACTAGCAGACTAAGAACTTGATAGCTCGACCTTTGGAGCTTCAGGTTCCAATTCCTCTGATCTGGTCAAAATTTGCATTCCGTGCCATCTCGCTCTTTCTCTCGGAAATATTACATTATGGACAAGCCCGGCGAGAAAAGGACAAGATTCCTTTCAGAAACTGAATTCAGAGTCCAGATTGAAGCCAACTCAAACCAACGAGATGCAACATCCCCTCAACCAACGACAACCTGAAACACAAGACAACAAACGCCAGCGCTATGCATGACCACATGTGCTGCAGAACAAATGTGAAATAGAACAACGACACACAAACAAATCACACCCGCGGCCGATTACCGATCCGTCTCCTCGTCATAAACATCCAAAATCGCCCGACTCTCCTCATCGCTCTCCCTCTCCACCGACGACCCTCCGCCCTGCCCGAGCTTGAACCCCTCAATAACCTCAGCCAGCTTCTCCCCCTCGCGTCTCCCACGCTCCACATTGATGCACCAAATCAGCGGTGCCGGGAACCCCACCAGGGCGGCGAGGAACCAAAACGCCGGCCTGATCTCCCCCGAGGCGTCGATGATGGCCCCCACAATGGCCGGCCCAAACACGCTCGACCCCTTGTCGGTGATGGCGTACAGCGCGTAAAAGGCGGCCTCGGACCCGGGCGGGATCAGCTCGCCGTACAGCGAGCGGCAGTAGCCGCTAAGGCCGCCCAGCACGAAGCCGTAGACGGCCGCCAGCGGGTACATCTCCCAGGGCTGCTGGAGGCCAAAGACGCCCCAGTGCTTCACAAAGGGCAGGTAGCCCAGGAGGCCGTAGAGCGGGATGAGCTCAAAGAGGGCGATGCACGCGAGGATGGTCTGGTGGGCCTGCAGGCGGAAGCGCCGCGAGATGTAGGACCAGGAGAAGGCGCCGAGGATGCCCGCCGTGGTGGAGATGACGTTGATCATGCCCAGCGCCCACGGCTCCATGTGGAGCTGCGTCTTTGCAAAGAGGATCGCCGTCGAAGACGTGGTCGCGATGGCGTCCGACAGCAGGAACCAGCCGCCGAGGAAGAGGACAATGTCGACGAGCCGCCTCGCCAGCCGGACGGTGCGGAAGAGAGACTTCCAGGCGTTGATGGTGTAGGCGATGAAGGCGCGTATGCCCCCGTGGCTCGACGATGAGGGTAACGGCGGACCCGGCCGGGGACGGAGCCACATGGCCGCGGGGACGGTGAAAATGGCCCACCAGACGCCGATCACGAAGAGGACGACACGCTGCGACCATGTGGTATTCTTCATCTGGATCAGGATGAAGATGGCGACGCACTGCAGGAAGAGACCAGCAATGTACCCGATCCCGATGCCCTTGGCTGAGATCTGCGTGGACAAGGTCAGTTCGTGCGAAGTCAACTCCTCCCGAGTCTTCACCCGGGCGATGTCGTGTCCATCTTCCAGAGTATCTTCTCTGGGCGGCAACAATGCCGCTGTCGAGTCGGCCATTGGCCCCTCGGCGTCCGAGTCGGGGATGAAGTCGGCAACCTCGGCCTCGTGGTGGCTAATTTCCGGGTGGTGCCTGACGAGAAGCGGCAGGAACGAGTTTAGAAGCACAAACGACGCGCCAAAAGATGTGTTTGAGATGATGGCGAGCAGCGCGCCGAACAAGT